CCGGTTTCCCTCTTCCAGACGAGGTGGCGGCTCTCCTTTTTCTGTTCTTCATCGAGGTCTTCTGAATCACTTTTTGTGTGGTCCCTCCCCCAGAACCAGTTTGCCTTGGGAGACCCTACCAGGGGCTAATGTCCCAGACAACATAGCTTCCAAGGATCACAGGGACACTCAAACCCCTCTGCCGCGATAAGGTGGCGATTCATCGGTGGGCTGAAAACACTTGAAATGAAAAAACAAACAAACAACAAAAAACTTTACAACTGTAAAAAAGTCCAAAGTAAGACCCGATGAAGGCAGGAACAACAGTCTGAGATTATAAGAAGAACACAAGAAGAAACAAGAACTTTGTCACCGCAAACCTTGCCACACTCCACACAGCCTGTAGCATTTGAGATTTTTTTTTAATTGAGTGTTGAGATTTAATTGGAACTGCTTCCTAAATAGCATTGATGGGTCTGTGTTGATCTCTGATGGACAGCATAGACATGCAATACATCTCCTCACTTTGCCTTTCTGTTTTGTGGTTTGATTTTAATGTGACATGACAAGTTCAGTGAAACTTTACGTTTAGTTGTTGAAGACACAAAGGTAAATAGTCATCAACATTTCATTTTGTTGAATTCTGAAACAGTAAAGCTGACATAAGGATGAAAACAAATACAATACACATATAACAATACAATGTGTATTGATAAATTATTAACATAAATCTTTGTTTAGCTTGTTTTTACTTAGACATGATTAAAAATCAAAATGCTGTTCTGTGCAGCCACTACTGGTTAAAATGGCTGTGTGTGTGCAAAGTGATCAATGATTTGGCTAACTCTCTTACTGTGACTCTCCCTCAGATTTGAGTCTTGGAGCGTGGGTTGGTGCAGTCTTCATCCTGCTTACAGTCCTCATCATCATCGTTACAGTGACTGTTCTCTGCTGCAGATGCTGCCGACAACGAAACAGAACATTTCAAACATCTCAGTCATCGGTGCCTGTCTAGTGTTTAGTGTGCGTGTTTTTTTTGTTTTTTGTTTTTCAAACACAGGGGGCTGGTCTCTCTTCAGTTTTCTGTCTTCTCTTTGTTTCTGAGAAAACATCCGTCCACATCATTTTTGTTTTTTATTTCTGCCTGTCCCATGTGTTTGAAGGACCTATTTTACCTGTAAGCATCAGTACATCAAGAATTGACTGTTATAGGATATCAATTGTTGACCACTGTATTCAAGCCTGGATTACTAACCAAGACCCCCACAGGCACTGAAAGCCAGGTTTTCTGCAAATTATTTGGGTCTAAATAACTCGACTATAGCAGAAATTCGCACCACTGAAGGACAATATCAGCTATGATCTTGTCTGGTTGACTCTGTGTCAAAATCTTGTTTTATATAGTTACAGTTCATATATGTTGAGTTTACCATCATGGAAATCCATGAAAGCTGTAAATCCTTAATGTAAAATTGATTTAAGTATTTAATACATTTTAAAAACACTACTTGATTATTGCAATTGTTGACATTCTTTTTTTATCAGTCCATTGATTATTAAGTAATCGTTTCAGCTCTAAGTTAGTTGCTGGATGTCTGAGAACATATTGACCCTGACATGTCCTGTGGTTTTCAATAAAGGCCTCGCAACAAATTCTGGCTCCAGGAGGTTAATCCAGCCATGACTGCAGCAGCTTAAGCCATGAATATTTTATCATCTGTGTAATTGCACGAGTCAAATCTTACCTCATCTTCTTTGTTCTCAGTGTATCAGTCCAGCTGCCTTCACATTGTTTTTTCTAAAAGCACTTTTCAGACTTATCCATCACCATCACTTCATGTTTTTTTAGTTATGCCACAACAATAACAAACTCACAAGAGTAACTTTTGTTAATCAAAATGATGGGAAAGCAATGAAAAACCAAAGATGAAAAGGTTCTACTGATGCTGATTCATTTATTATCACATTCAGCAGTGACATCTGACAAACGGAGCGATTTATACTTTGATTTAACATATAGTTTTCTGTAATCATTCATAAAGTTCTGGAATATAGAGGCAGTCAGCCACGACACATATGACTGATTTGCTCTGTATCCACTTAAACCAAATTTGCAAATGAAAGGAACCCCTTCTAGTGACAAATGCACACAGAAAGATTTTTCACTGACAAAACTTTCTCCAAAAAGTTCCTCAAATGGAGGACTTAAGTATGGTATGCAGTTAAATTTCACCACTGCTAGAATTTAACAGCTATACGGACAAATTTTTCTGCTGCCTCCAATTAATATTTGAACTTTGAGATTTAGTTAACAGTCTGTTAATTTGATTGTACTCATTAACGATATCCGGCTTTGTATAGACAGCCGAAACAGCAGAAGACAAAACACACAATGTATTATGGATGACTTTTATTTATTATTTTTTTCATCACAGAACATCACATTTAGACAGCAACATGTACACCACACATACATTTATCATCATCACAAAAACACATGGCCTCACCATGGCAAAACGCAGGAGTTATTCTGAATATGATTTCCTTCAACCATGGCTTTAAAGTGCATACATTTGTATCATAGAAAACATACACACTGCAAAAAATGAAAAGCTTCAGAAGCAACTTTATCTCTGACTCTCTCTGAACAATATTACTGCTCTGATAACTGTTTTCAGTAATATTCATATCCTGTCCAGCAGCCTGTCAATCAATAAATACAAAAATAAATACAAAAATAAATTAGTCAGCAACAACAAATAATTCAACTCCATTCCATGTAAACAATAAAATTGCTTGCCAACCTTGTCATTTTTACAGTGCACCGAATGAGATGTTTATTGTGCTACATGTGCCTATGTACAGTAATGCATTTTCAGCAGTTCTTTAAATGTAAAACAACCGTTACTTTTACACGGATCAGTTCTAGCTCTGGACTGTGATGTTTTTGGTCATTGTTAAATGAACACATATTAAATAGAGGAACCTGGAAATAGGAATAAAACATGTTGTCCCATTTGTAGGACAGTCTCAAAATCTAGCTTCATTCACTTCGAGGTGGTTCAAAAAGGGAGCAGAAACTTCAAAAATTTGTTTAAAGAGAAAAGAAAAGCTTTCAATACCTTCTCGCTCCAATAGCATTGATTAGGCGTTTAATGTGAGTATTGTACACAACGACAATGTTGTAACAATGTCCTCCTGTTTTAAAAAAAAAATCCTCTATATGAGTTTTTAAATTTAAATTCTTACTGAATCCAAACAACAAATTCCATATCACCGCAGACACCAGTGGGTAAATCAGTCAGGCAGTACATCAGCATTTTTCTGTGTTTTTAACAAACTGGAAGCTGTCACGTTGTTTTGCAAACAGGAAATCTGACTTTGAGCTTTGACTTTGACACAAATCTAAGGAAAACAAGGGGTAACAGTGATATGCATGCTTCAAGTTTAGCTAAAACAATGTCATATGGAGGTAGGTGATGGTGGCACATACTGCGAGACAATGTCCTGTAAAGTGTGTACCATCAGAGATTCCACTGTACAGTTGCTGTCTCATGGAAAATCTTTGGTTGTATGAAGCTTTTGTGTGGACATACACCCCTTTATAGCACATTGAAGTTTTATGTTATGTTTGTATTGTTCTGTTATTGGTTCTATATATCAGATTTTGAACATTTATATGAAAGCAGACTGTGCATCCTTAGCACAACCTTGAGTGAAGTGACACTGCCTCTGTGTGTGTTGTAATCCCAGCTTCTCTGATCCGTGGTTTAGCAATTAATCTGGCTGCATGAATGTGAGTCCCTCCCTTTGAAACTGTTGGTCCTCCTGGCATTTAGAAACAGAATGAAAGTAATCTCTCACATCGCACCATGAAAGTGCAGTTTGAGTGTTCAGCATGTGTCTAGTGAAGGAAATGAGTCTGGATTGTAACAATTGTATTGTATTGATCAGTACTAAGCCCAGCAGGCAGCAACAGTGCCCCTGCAAAATAGTGATGTGGAATTATTTAGTGGAACATTTGTATGCAAGGAGACAAGCAATGCCATTAAATTCCTCAAAGAACCCAGTAGGCATGTCTTACTGCAGGATCCCATCTCACAAAACTTGCTATTTTTTTTTAGCAAGTGGGTTGTTAATTGGAGATTGCGTTTGCGGTTTCCTTTACTGGAGAGGATGCAGAAAATGGTAACTCAAGAGATAGTGGAAAAAGCCACATGATGTGCCGAAGAAAAGCTAGTCTTCTACCTGCCATTTACATTTCTGGTTGTAAATGAAACTGATGTTAGGATGCTGGTACTCTGATGACATACATGGTTCTAAATCCTGCATACAGAACCTGTATTTACTTGGTTATACATTGTGCACATGAATTTGTGATTTGTCCTGCTTGCACATGCCTACTAAGTGTGAAAATCACACAGTGTTTGCTTTTACTAGGTTTGCAATGTTGTCATGCAACTATGGTAGAGTAGTAATGAGGGAGACAGAATGGACACTTAATCCCAACTTAAATGTTCATTCAGTGCCTGCCGAGTCTCTTACAGTGTCAAGGTAGACTGTCATCTTGGATATATATTCATCAGATACACCATTCACACATTCACATTTTTTTCATTTTATATGGGATACCTCTATATTTACACCTTCCATTGTATTTGCAACTGCCTAATGAATCCTGACATTACACGGGGCACTGAATGTGCACTGCTGCCTGACCAGTAGATAAAATGTACTGTTACACAGCATTTGTGTGTCTGTAACCTTAAACCAGCTATAACCAGTACCAATAACAAATTAGAAAATTGTATTGTGAAAACAATATAAGAGCACTCTGGTAGTAATGAACCTACAGAGAACTGTCAGCTCAATCTGCAGCTCATCTTATTTGTAAAGAGCTTAATGGTGAGTTTCAGCTCTTTGTTAAACTGTCTAGCTGCAACTTTAGTTCACTGTTTCTGCTCTCTCATGGTGACATTTTTGACCACAGCAGACACCTGTTTACAGAGAAAAAGTCCTTCTACTCTACCTGCTCAACAGGAACCCGCTGACAGACACAGAGACTAGCTGATGGTCTCTACATGTTTCCTTCCAAGTAAACAAAAAGTCAGTAATTGCAGGTTTATCAGAAGATGTTATACTTCATGCAGTAGGATCTGAAACCAATCAACAAACCTACCTACTTACTCCAGTCACACAAACAGTCATACATGGACAGTTTGGACTGAGTTAGAGCAGTTAGGATTAAAGGCCATTTCTATCTGTGCCCACCCCCTTCTGATGTATTTGTAAGATGAGGGTAAACATGCTGGAAGTTATTTTCTTATTGGCCTACCAGATGTGGCCTAAAAATACTTTGAAAGTTTTAAGCCAATTTGTGCTAGATGAACAGTGCCCTCTTACCTTCTTGTGGTGTAAAGCACTCAAGCTCTGCTTGTGCTGAACTGAATGCAAAACCAACCTTGCTGAATCCCTACTTCCAAACTTAATACTAGCATACTAACAAAAGCAGGCAGTAGACTAAAGACTAAAGTTGCTGCTCAGAATTCACTCATACTCCTTGAAAATTATTTTTTGCTCATGGTTTTGTTTTGTTGACTGAAATTGGCAGTAGTCTTTCAGGGGTGAGTAGTCTTTCTCTGTCAGTATGAGTATCAAATCAATGTCTGGTTTGATATCTACCAAAATAGTACACAACTAATACTAATGCATAGTTTTCACTTCATCGTATTTATATATAGTATGGAAGTGGGACAATGATATAGAAAAATGCACTGTAAAGAACATTTATATCTGACCATATTCTTAGTGACAGTCCAGTTCTTTGCTGCTACTGATTGTAACACTCAAGTATTAAGTTCAGCAGCTAAATGCTTCAAAGAGGAACTTAACACCTACCTAAAAGCTTGCTTTTCTGACCTCCACCATACATCACTGCTGCACGGGTATACTCTAGGATGCTGTGACATGATTGTTAAGTGTGGATACAGGTGCACCAAATCTCATGTCTGACTAAAGCTGTAGTCAGATGTCAAACAGGCTTTAAACTTTAAGCCAGAGTTGGCAGTGAACCATTGTTTCTCAAGCTGTTAAAAAAAACTCTTGAAGGAGCACTTTAAAGTAACTGATGAGTGAAAACACTGGGCATGCTACCGTGGTGATTGTATGGCTAAGCGCTCACTGTACAATCTGTACCAAACTCTCGCTACAGCTCATATCCAACTTAGACCTAAACTACTAATTGACTAGATAATCTCAAAATCACAATAGCAGACTACAGTATATAATTTATATACATTTTATCTATGTGATAAAGTCCACTTATACATGTTCCAACATTAATTTAAAATCAAAATTGGGGATATTTTTAACCACAGACCAATCAGCTCTGTCCTTCATAAAATCATCACATCATAAATCTCAGTTAATATCAACTTCATAGTTAATTAACTAGCATCAGCTGGGGTGCAAAAAAAAAAATCCGGGAAGAGTTTATTTTATGTTAGACAGCCCTCAAAAAATATTATTCATTTTCAGATAGTTGTTTCCAATCCTGACTTCTACAAATCACTCTATATAGGACGCAACAAGCTAATAACATTTCCATAATACTAATCAATAAATCTTTTAGAGCTAGCTGTTACCATGGTACCTGGTAGTTTTTACAACTTCTTTCCTTTCCTTTCTCTTTTGACTTGATTATACTAATTTATTGCCATAAATAACAACAGAATGACATCTCCTTCCCTTCGATTTAATTGCCCTTCCTTTTGTCCATTCCCATTTGTCTCCACTTTATCGTCCATCCTCTTGCTTTATTCCCCATTATTTGAACATGGCACACCTTCTGACACGGTAACCCCCATGAGTGTTGGTTGGTAAAAGATCACTTCAGGTCGATGCCCTTAGTCTGGGACTGGGCCTTCTCCTTGGCCTAAAACACACATGACAAACAACAAAAACATGATGATAAATGTGTCTTTACCTACATTTGTACATCTAGCTAACACTTGTTTGGAGGTGTGTTGATTTTTAATCATTCTTTAAAATGGTCATATTACTCTTAATTGTTCGATAGATAAGGTAATCACAGAACTGTATGATAAAAATTCCCTTATTGTTCAAAGCTTCGGTATGTTGCTGACTGGTTGCTCACAGGGAATCCAAAGGCAACTTTAGATTGTTGGGTTCTCTGTTGATTGTTTAAAATTCACAAGGTCTTCACCTTACTATGTGAAAGTGCTATTAGATGACATATATTGTGAATTGGCACTATATAAACTAAACTGAATTGAATTGGTCTGTTGCCATGGTAGCACCTCTATAAGGCTGTACATAGGAACAACAGTGCTTTGAGCTAAAAGCTAAGACTGACATGTTAAAATACTTAAAGTACAAAAATGGTAGTGGGTATAATGTTTACCATGATCACTAACTTCTTTTTTAACTAATTAAAAAAAAAAAAAAATAAATTTAAACCTCATCCATTTTGTAGTTTTTGAGAAAATATCAGTGCAGACCAACCCTGTGAACTGACTGACACTGCTAGTAGGACTGAAAATATGTATTAAAATTCCAGAGCGACGTCCCTAAACTAAAGTGAAGGGTATATGTTTATAATTTAAGAAAAAAACAGGTCAGACTACATTGTCACTACAAGCGCCAAAGTAGCCAAAGTACAAGCTCAATGCAACAAAAGCTTGGTTACCGGTGATTACTGAAACAGAAGTGAATACATGTGTAATTTCCATTAAAGGCTAACGGTTTAAACAAAAGAACCAATGAACACCACTGGTTTGTGGTTTTCAACTTACCCTGAGAGATGGCCGAGGTGGCCGAACTGGTCTGACTGGTTGTACTGGCTCTGCTGCTGGCTTTGCCTGCTTTCTGTCCATGGGCTCGAGGTCGTCAGCTACATCAGGGCAACCAATGTATCCTCCAGCCCCAAACACTAAACCTAGATCACCCTCTAACAAGTTCTGATGGTTCGGAGCAGTGGATGAACTGAGGTCCTGGTTAGCAGACCTATTGATGGCCATGTTGCAAGTGTCAGCAGTATTAGTGTTTGTGGTGCTGGCAGTGCACATACTGGTGTTACAGAATTCCACTCCTAGCAAGTCTTCTGACGCCACATCACTATCAGAGCTGTTATTGGTAGAAATGACATTGAGCTCTTCCTCCACAATGCATTGGTTATTGTTTGCTTCAAGAGAAACTTCTTTACTCAACATGTTTAGCACCTCTTGGTTGTCATGGCTACCTAAGTCTAGCAATTCCTGATTTTCATGGCTACGAAGATCCTGGAGTTCCTGTGTGTTTTGGCCACCTAGAAGCAGAACTTCTTGATTTTCTTTGCTGCTAAGATCCAGTAATTCTTGATTGCCATGGCTATCTAAATCCAGCACTTCCTGATTTTCAGGATGGGAGAAGTCCAGCAGTTCCTGATTGCCATGGCTACAAGGTTCCAGCACTTCTTGGTTATCGTAGTCACGAGGTTCAAGTCGTTCCTCACTGCTGATATTGGAATAGGGTTCTACCACCTCTTGGTTGTCATGACTACAGAGATCCAGGAGTTCCTGGTTTTCATGGATAACCAACTCCCTGTTGTCAAGACTAGATGGTTCCAGCACTTCTTGGTTTCCATTGTTACACAAGTCCAGCAATTCCTGGTTAATGTGGCTACAATGTTCAAGCACTTCTTGGTTTTCACATTTATGAGGTTTCACTACGCCCTGGTTGCTATAGTTAGAGAGTTTTATTTGCTCATTGTTGTCATAGGTGCAAAGGTCCATTGCCTCCTGGTTATCGTGACCACAGAGGTCCAATACCTCCTGGTTCTCTTCTTCAGGGCTGAGCTTAAAGCCATAAGGGTCAGAGTCCCGTACCATCTGGGAGGAAGTGATATCAAACCTATAGGCATCGAAGTTCAGTTGGTCTGGTTGAGAAGAGGAAGGCTCTGGATCAAATGCCAGCTCATTTTCAGCAGGTTCTGGGCTTAATTCAGCTTCATCAGGGTCCAAGAGAGTGTGACTAGAATGCTCTGGACTGAGTTTGAACCCATATGGATCGAAGGAAGACTGACTGGTTGGTTCATAGTTTAACTCAAAGCTGTTCTGCTCCAAGTCAGGCTGAACAAGAGGGTTCACGGAATCCAGCGAGTTTTGGGGAGTTGCAGGATTTCGGGGTTCCTCGTCACTGTTGCTAACCCATTCTGTTGCCTGAGAGGAAGTTATATTACAGAACAGAGTTTGCTCCATGTTACTTTTCCAATCTGGTTCTACAAGGACAGGTCCACAATTCTTTGTGACAGCCTCAGCTGTACCAGAACACAGACCTAGAAGGAAAACAAAGAGGGGTTAAAATATAAACAATTGGTGGCAAGAATTTCAGCCAGCTGAAGAAAAAAAAAACAAGCAAAAAAAGAAAAAAGGAAAAATTGCTTAAACCACATGACAGATTTTAATCTTGCATACTCAAGTAATAAATGCTACAGTTTTAAAAGTTTAGAAGTCTATTAAGTAGATTAAAAAAGAGCTCAAAATAGCACTGTATACACTTGGTCATAGGATTCATTTAGGATATCATCATAAAGTCATCAATGGAGCAAATGGCAGGGTTCACATCAAACACAGTATGTAGCACAACAGAAACCATAAGATTTAAAGTATAAATTCAATGTGCATCGCTGAGGCTCTGTGCAATGCAAAATCGTCTTTGCCTCAAACATTAAACTAAAAATCCAAAAAAATATAAAAGCATAAAAAATAAATTGCAGAGAAAAGAATGGTAACATTTTGAAAATATGTAAGATTTGAAAGATGAGGGAAGAGCTGAGTAAAAAATGACCTTGTTCTAGTCCTCCTGTTGTCTCACAGGTAATCTCCCCAGCTAGAGATCCCAGACTGTGCTCTTCTATGTCAGAGGGTGGAGAGACAGCACCAAGATCCAGTTCATACCCATTTGGATCTGATTCTACAGAAAACTGACCCTGGGACCTCCAGCCCTGGATCGGCTCAGGCCCCAGCTCTTCTGATGAGCTCTGAATGGGTTTAAATCCACGGGAATCATCTGCCACAGCATCTAGGTCCTCTCGGCTGTAGCTTATCTCTATGTCGCTATCTTCATCTGGGAATTCTGATTCAAAGCACTGAGTTCCTGTAGAGGCTTTGTTTTCAGCACAGGACAGACTAGTGTCTGCCTCATCGCCGATATTTCCCATCCCGTCATCAGTGCCAGCATTCGGTTCTGGAAACAAATTATCGGCTGCAAACGGGTCACTGCCTTTGAAAGGGTCTGAAGTAAATCCATCTGAAAAAAGATTTATGACAGACATTTTAAACAAAGATAGTGCTTGAGTAAATTAGCTTTATTACGTAGCTGACAGTTTCCACCAACAATAAAACAAATGGTAAGTTAAACCTAAAATTATGTCCAGCACAGACCCTTAACTCTTCTTAGTGTCAAGTAAAATAAGGAGTAGTTAACAAGTGTATTATTACTCACCAGATGAGTGCATTATAGGAAATAGGTCTTTATTGAAGAGGTCATCTACAAATTAACAGAGAAAGAAATTGGAAAATCTCATATACTATACATAACCACTGACACATGTGATCAGAAAATATGGAGTTATGACTGCTGTTCGACACAGGATGCACATTGATAATTTGCTAAAGGGTAAAATCAACATGCGTCTGAAATACATATTGGTTCGTAGCCTTAAAAGATCTTTGTTTAAAAAAAGAAAAAAAACCATGGCAAAGTAAAATATACAAGCAATTGTCCTCGAAAAAGCAAATCTGTGTAACAGTGACCAAATGTGATGTTTGTGTGAGCATCAGGGTTATTTTGAGTGTCCATGGTTTCAGAAGTAAAAGCTGAGCTCTTTCTACACTTGGTACAAAACACTGCATAAATCATGTGGAAAAAAATAGTATTTTTGATACAGAGTAAAGTTACAACTACATTTTTTTTTAAATTAGCAATTAACCTGTGGATTCTATTTTTAGTAAAATAATTTACTGTTTGGATCAAAAATTGCCAGAAGATTGTGAAAAAACAAAAAATCATGAGCCTAATGTGACTTCTTCAAACCACTTGTTTTGTCTAACTAAAACCCAAGGATTTGAATTTTACCATCACGTAAGATAAAGACAAACAGCAAATTGCTGGAATAGAGGAGGTGGAACCAGTCTATTGGTGCCATAAAATTTATTTAAAACAGCTAGTTAATCACATCACTAGTTGCATTTCTACTCTAAGGGCTGGATCCTTTTGTTTTGGACTGACAACAAAGTGAATTTCTCCTATGTTTATCGTATGTTTTAGGTGGTTTTAGGCAGCTGGTGCAGCCAGGAGGCTTAGTCATGGCTAACTCTCCTAAACCTAGCTTAGGCCCTACTGTACATCTCATACATACGGTCACTCTGACAGTGGGCGAAGGGGTCAGCTTGGTAAAAGTCCAGTTGGCTGAGACGTTTTGGGTTAACAATGGACTCTTCCTGCTCTCTTTCTTTGTTCTCTTCATTGTTGAGCTCTCCTTCCTCTGGGTCATCCTCTATGTCAGATCTGTCCATCTGTGAACAGATGTGACAATACAATACTTGCATGCCAAACCAAGGAGAACAGTGAACACTGCTGGTCTTACTAGATAGTGTAACAATCATTTTAAAGTCATGATACGAACTGACTGAAAATTTTTTCATAATGATAAAAATTCTGGTGATTGACTAATTACCCTAAAACATTTCACATAATATGAGTAGTGCAGGATGAAAGGTGGTAACAAAGCTACCTTTGGTGAGCTGGTCCCACTGTCGTCTTCCCTTGTACCTGCTAGATTATTGCAGAAGGGCGAGCCAGTAACTCCCTGGTAGAGTCACCCACGTAGAACAGGGAGACAAATACATGGAGGTGTAAAAGAAAAGAAAATGCAACTGGATTAATAGAATGAAACAATAAGATGAAACAAATGTTGATAGTGTAACCACTTTCTGCAGATGGAAGAATAATATTAAACTGGGTTACTATTTCAGTCTTATTTAACAGGATCCTGAGTGCTTAGCAGTTGATGATGAATTGGCTAAATCCCCACTTACCAGTAGATGTTATTGTCACAGGCTAATGTATCTATAAAAAAAAAAAAAGTAATAGTAATAGCACAGTGCCTCCACTGTGAAATCACTTAACCACTATAAGCTAGACTTGCAATTCCCCAGAAACAGTTGCAAGTATCTAAAATGTTAGTAGACCTTAGAAGAATAACATTTTCAGGACAACCAAGTATGCAACAATATGAAATTTATTTTCTTTTGTTCTGGTCTCTTTTCTATGTTCTTGTATTTAAAAGTTTCTTTCTTTGGTCTTTGTTGAAACTTCGCAACTTAAATTTCACCAAACAATATTATTTCTGTTGTTTCACCGGATCATCCATCCATCCATTATCTATACACCGCTTAATCCTCACTAGGGTCATGGGGGCGCTGGAGTCTATCTCAGCTGATTTAGGGCGAAGGCAGGAGACACCCTGGACAGGTCACCAGTCTTTCACAGGGCTACACTTAGAGGCAGACAACCAAGCACACTCACATTCACACCTACGGACAATTTAGAATCACCAATTAACTTCAACATGTTTTTGGACTGTGTGGGAGGAAGTCGGAGAACCCGGAGAGAACCCACGCTGCACGGGGAGAACATGCAAACTCTACGCAGAAAGATCCCAGGTGTTCTCAACAGGACGTGAACTGGCGACCTTCTTGGTGCGAGGCAACAGTGCTAACCAAATGCGCCACCTTGCAGCCCTAAAACCACACCATTAAAGTTAAATAACATAAGCTATATATACTACTTTACCTATTTGTTGTTCACTAACATTACTGTTGATTAAAAGTATAGACCCAAACTAATCTGATTCTACCTGGCCACGGTCCTCTCTCAGACTTAGATACACCACACACAGGCGCTAGCGGTGAAGCATCTGCATTTGCTCCAATAAAAATTCTGGTTCCATCTGTTTTAAAAAAGGTTGTCAAAAATGTCTTAAGCTGTGCCGCTGTCACAGCCCAGATGGCGAGGTAAATGGTCTGCACCCATATAGCACCTCTCTACCTTAGTGGTACACAAAGCGCTTTGCAATGTTTTCTCATTCACCCATTCACACACACATTCATACACCAATGCTGACAGAGCTGCCATGCAAGGCGCTTTCCTGCCATTGAAAGCAACTTTGGGTTCAGTGTCTTGCCCAAGGACACTTTGACAGTGGAGGGGCAGGAAATCGAAAAACCAACCTTGCGATTAGAGGACAACCCCTCTATCACTGCCGCCAAGGTGACGCAAGGGTATGGATGGGAATGTCTGGTGGTACATATGGGAAGTTCTCTGCAAGCCCGTCATTGTCTCATTTACCAACGCTTTGATGAGTATGGTTACAATGATGAAGACCTCTTACTCACATACTTACAAATGGATTGTTTTCGAACATACTTGAAAAATCCTATTCATATCTATTATGTTGTATTCTGCATCATTACTGTGATTTACCATTATCAGGTCAGCATAGGCGGGCAGTGACTGGCTCCTTCCCCATGGCCTCATGGGAAGCGGATCATCTTCAGTGGTGTCTGCAGGGGATGTTGACTCCTCTAGCTGGCTTTCTGGAGTAACTGCACCTCCTGACAGAGAGCACAGAGTGTGTTCCTCCTACAAGGACAACAAGAGTGAGGAGTAACCAGTAAATGCAGATAGTTTTAGACCTGAGGTGGAATTTTTACAAACCTCAATCATCACAGAAAAAGACTTTTCTTCTTTTGTCAACACATCTTTTAAGTACAAGACTGAAATGCAATATATTAGAATTTTCCCCATACCACAGTTTTTTAATTTTCATTCTACCTCACGTAGCTTGTATCTTTAAGACTGAGAACTTCAGCTAACATTTAAGACTTGCATGTCCCTTTGTACCTGCAGGATCTCTTCATAGGACTGTCTGATGGAGTCTTGCAGAGGAGTGTTCCTTTCCCCAGCCTCGTCCACCTTCCTCTTGGCTTGTTTCACCTCCTCTCTAAGCTTCCGCAGCCTCCACCTGGCTCTGGCAAGCTCCCTCTCATACTCCTCCACCTGGCTCTCCTTCTGCACCTCCTCTGCCTGCAGAGATAGAATCTGGCAAAAAAAGGACAAAGGCGATCCAGTGTTTAAAACCAATTCAGTGTTTCCTCTAGGATTTTTTCCAGCAGCAGTGGCAGGCTCTCTGGGGAGCCATGGCGGCCTAAACAAAGACATTTGACTGCAGACCATACTTTCACAACCTATTTATTGAATGGCCAGTTGAAAATTGCTTTTTCAAGGCTGAATGTAAAAAAAATCTAATCAAATAAAAAAACCCAATACAATTACAGTAAGTAAATAAAAATGAAAACGATGAATAATAATTTCTTGATGGTGCTGTAGAATCAGTGGCAAAGTTTGCACCTTGGCTCAGAAGAATTAATTTTTCTGGGTTTTTGATAGAAGCGCTCTAAGGCTCTGTTGTACAGAAATTCTCTGAGAGGTGACCGCTGATGCTCAGCAGCACACATGCTGCAAGCTGATTCAGTACATTCCTATAGTAAAGCGTAAAGTGGCACTACTGATTATTGTTCTTACAATGGAAATACACTGAATTTATTTGTTATTCGTTTGTTGTTTTTTTTAAATTTATTTAACAGAAACATCGACATGTATATTAAGCAAAAAAAAAAAAAAAGATTTAACAGAAACATCGACATGTATATTAAGCAAAAAAAAAAAAAAAGAAAGAAAGAAAGACAGAAGGGAAAAAAAGGTTCATGGACACTCCCCATTATCAGTGTGGTAGAGCCATGAGTGGAACCAGTTATTTCTTTTAACCCATGTAGGGTCCCATCCTGATAGCCTGAGCTCCCCTTTAGGTTCTTCTCCTCTACTCTCATCTCTCTTCTGCTCCTTCACTCGGCTCTCCTTCACTTTGTTCCACTGCCCCACTCTGTCTAATGTTACTTGTCTTACGATTACATAAAAAATGAATGTTACATCATTTGCACTCACATCATATCTGATTACAGTGTGAACACTATTTTTCACCGAACCATCATCATTTATGAGTCAGTAAAAGGCTAATGATAACTGACTAGCATTATCTCCATCAGGTGTCTTTGTCTTCTTCGAGAAATATTTGAACAAGCTCATCTGAAGATGCAGTCAGCAGTTCCATCATGGCGTGTAGATGTTAGCTTAATGCTATCAGTTAGTTTACTCACGTTAGCGACACTGCATTGGCCCCTGGGCCCAATTAACTTAAGATACCAATATGTTACATAATGTTAGCTGGCCATCAATACTTTGCGCATGTCTATTTAGTTTGTAAAATCTATTCTGAGTTATCTTTAACTAATAAGTCTACCTTTTCTCTGGTAAGTCGCTGCTCTATTCTCCAAGAGGACCATCCTCTGACTCTCTGACCTGGAGCCTGGTGCTGGACGTGACGTCACATTCAAGGACGCGCTCTCGCGAGTAATTACCGTAGCATTAACCCCCCAAAGAGTAGAGACTGAGTAAGATAGTTATCTGTAGTTTACCTTAGTACTCTCCAGTAACTAACGTTGCATTAAGCCTCCGAAGAGTAGATACTGAGCAAGATAGTTATGTGTAGTTTACCTTAGTACCCACGAGTACCCGACCCAGTGCAGGACTCTGCTGTGAAGGTGGAGACATGCTGCGGTGGTATATTTGCAACAATAAAAAAATAAAGAAAAAAAATTTGAAGGAGTGGTGGCTAGGATTTAGGAATGGCGGCCCGCCACTTCTAAATGTAAACGAAACACTGAAACTGTAAAAAAACAAACAAAAAAACCCACTATGGCCCAGTAGTTCCAAATTATATGAAAGTGCTAAAAATGATTGACAAAGAGCCATTTGTTAATCACAGGGGGCTAGTACTTGCTAATACAACAGATAGTACATCCCACTGTGAAACTCTGCCAAGCTCACAACACACATTTTTACTTTAATCTTCACTTTCAACTAATTAAGCCACTGTTTACAGCTATGAGGATTTTTGACTAGTAGACTGACATCTGTTCACAATCTGATTCATATGAAAATAATGCGATTCCATTGACAAGATTGTTTCTGGATTATTTGAACAGCAAAAACACAAAGTTTACTGTCCTTATTCTAAGACATTAAAAGACAGAATTATTAGAAATATTAACTCTGTCCAGTTAAGTTCAAATTAAATTTAAATGTAGTTACTGTTTTAGAAGTTATGTTTCTGACAGTAAAACAACTTTATTTTTCCAGCACACAATTGTAAAGTGGTTATTAAGGATCATTTGTGGTACTTTTCTTGTATACATACAGTAAATTAATTAGTGTCAGAAGCACACATACAGCATGAGAGAGACAGAACTAGCTGTGTAGCAGCATTTCATCATTACCTGTTGACTTTCTTCATAGCAGAGTTGTCTGGTGTCCTTTATTTGCTGTGCAAGCTTATCTTTGTGTTCTTCTAATTTAACCAGGGTCTCCTCCAGCTCCTTGCGGTCTGACTGTTGTTCCTGAAGTTCCAGGTTCTCCACTGCCACTGCATTTTCTAGCTCCTACAATCACACACACACACACACACACACACACACACACGCACGCACACACACACACACACACAGATATATATAGAGATGTGCACTGTTCAGGATTTAAGAATGATTGACACTCCTGTGGAATGATGAAGCACACATGTAGACACACATAGCCACACAGGTGCATGTGACAGATGTCAACTGAGAAACTATTCTATAAAGACAGAAAAGTTCTATCTATTTAATGCAGAGAAGCTGTCACAGCAGGGCAGGGTACCCACAAACTGACATGAATCAGGCAGAAAGGCAGGGGTAACAGGTTGTATTTAACAATTCCGAAAGAACGGAATACAACAATGTAAGCTAAACACGAGATCTTGGGAGCACAGGGCAGGGGTGAACAACTGCGAGTGAGTACGCTAAAGCCTAACTTAGATTTCTAAGGCCTGGCTAATCGAACTAGGCCAGCGGCCATGTAACAGAAAATGTAACAATAACCCACAAACTGAAAACTAAGCAAAAGAGAAAATAAGGACTGAAAGAACTAACAAATACCAAGCACTGGACAAGAAGAACATTAATGTTACCACCCTATGTTTTAAAATTGCTTTGATGACAAGGCAGGTCACGGACCTGGCAGCAGAATAAACAACAGTTAGAAGCAGGACAAAGTCTAACTGGCCAAACATTCAAAAGGAGCCTAACCAAAACTGACTGGTAATTGAGTCTATGCTCTGGTGGAGAGTGTGGGTTGAACTGGTTCTTTAATTGCAGGAGTTGCTAATTGCCGTCAGGTGATCGAGCCTCCTGTGCAGCTGTCTTCACTCCTGTGATTAGGAGGAGGAACAACAAAGCCACACCCAGAGTGAGAGAGAGCTGCCAGCTAGACAGGGCTGGAGCCAGGAGCAGAGGGTACGACAGAAGCAGAGATATGTCTTTTCATACTAACATGATTCACGTCAGGCTCCACATGTGATCAAAAGTCACTTCAAACAAGGTTTCACAGAAGACACTATGCTTGTCTGATGTTTTACCCAGAGTGTGATATAAACAGTGACATCAGTTTCACTTGTGTCTGTCCACTAAACACATAAACCCAGAATGCAAATGACTGAAAGCAGGAGAGAGTCTGCTAAAATTAGTAAATAATGAGCTTGTCAACTCCTTTCCTGTCATGTATCCTTCTAACTAGTAAATTAGTCACAAATCCATTCACAAATCTTTATCAAATTTCAACCACGTGTTTATCTTGATAGAGCAACAGTAAATTAGTCTGAATTAGCCTAAAAAGCTAATTTCCATCTGCTGTTACCTGGCCAGTGGTAAAATAGCAGCTATAATTAGAATAAACTCATAGTTGCTGTAAAAGCTGTGATGCCAAACATTTCAGTTATTTTGAAGCAACACCTTTCCATTAGTACAAAAGCAGAACTTTTAAGTAAGCCAAGACTAGAAAAAGACGCTAAGGGGCCTTGGACAAAACTCAGCTGTGATCTTACCCATCTCCCAACCTGTGTGCTGGGTAGCTAATGTTAAATAGCTGCAAATCTATGCTACCTTATTCTCTGAGCAATGTTGAGAGAGATTAAGGATTAACACTCTTTTAACAGTACTGGTTATACCTAAGAAGGCATCAACTGAATTAAGTCTTAATCAGGCTGTAGAAGCTCAACGAAGCTAGTATAGAGTGTGAAGTAGTTTGGATGGCCTTTTCTAAGTCATTATTGGCCTCATCCTGGACTTTAGGTACCTGTGGGTGGAGCCTAAGTCGCCCCCTTGGTAGGCAACATCATGCAAGGCAAATTTAAGAAGAAACACGACGTAGGAACATTTGGCATTATATTGTAGACCACTGCACATGCACTGCGCTAGTTTTTTAGGTTGTAGTGAGGGTTTGTGCTTTGCCCACCCTAACCGGGAAGCGAACTGGGGATCTTCTAGCTGCGAGGCGATGGTGCCAACCACCGAGCCACCTTGCAGCCCTGTTGTCAACATTTCCGTGAAAATAACTAAAAAGAGAGATCCGTTCGGTTTCCCACAACAGCAGTAATTTCATTAATTACTTTGAATTATAAATGACTCAAGACATAGAGAGGGTTTAATTGCAAATGAGACTGTGTACTTCTCTTCACATCAGACAGGTGAGCTGTTGTAGACTCACATTTCATAAGCTGCAGTTAAATCCTTCCTGAGGATATTGTTGTACTGTAAAAATTGATTCCGTCTATTACATTCTAAGTGTTTTTCTGTCATGTCAAGTAGTTGTATTAGGGACATTTTTTTGTTGTTTCACATCAGGATATTTGCAGTTGTGACATTATTGTGCATATGGAAGTGTCGTAGAACACTAACTTTCCAATTATTACAGTAACAACAAAAATATGGCAACGAGTAGCCAAGCAACCATAAACTCTGTTTTTAATAACCCAAAGTGGCTGTACTTAAATAAATTACCACCACATTAGGACACAATTTTCTGTGTTGAAACCATAAATAAACTTTGGATGTCTTGCCTATGACTGAACTTCTTACTCTCAAATACTCCACAGTACTTTTTCTCTGGGGCTATTCTAGGCAGTCACCAAAATACCCAATACATACCCATATCAGTGTATGCACATCAAAGAGTTAAGAATATTAATATTAGTAAAATAAGAAAGCAAGTAATTTGATTCCTTAACTCTGATAATGACAGTTTTTAAAAAGCCTCTGTACGAGCGGAATAGAATTCCTGAAATTCAGTAAAGGCTTTTGTTTTTTGTGTGCCACCTTAAGATTTTTGGTGGTCCCATCTGGTCACCCTTACAAAAAATTTCTGGAGACCCCACTGACAGCATCATGACATCACATAAGAGCATCATGGAAAATGCAGTGATAGAAGAGTCCCTGGAAACACGACAAGTACACATGTGGAGATGCACATATGATATATGCTCTGTCCACAATATTCAACAAACTTAATACAATGTGATGCCAACACAAAACACGGTAACACAGATGTATAAAAATCCAACACACACACACACACACACACACACACACACACAAACACAAATTCACACACACACCAGTGCTAGGTGCTGCGGTCTTCTTACTCTGATCTCGGCTACCTTGGCGAGGACTCTGTCATCTGTTTCCACGACATCGGTGTCCCTGGGAGATGACCAGCAAAGAAGACAAGAATGTTTAAGGAGGGAAGAGAGCGAGCACTCATTCTTCCAGTCTGTCTTCCCACCATCATGCCCTCTCTCCCATATTTCTATTTTTTCCTTCTGCACTGCTGGCTCCTCCATTGCTGCTCTCTAAAGCTGTCGCTACACTGCAGAGGAGGCGGAGCCGTCTCTGTGAATGTGTGTGTGTGTGTGTGTGAGTGTGAGTGTCTCTGTGTGTCTGCGTGTGCTTGTGTGTGTGTTCTTGCTGATCAGTGCATACAGGCAGAATGCACCAATGTGAGAAGGGAAAGAGAGAGGGGGGGATGAGTCAGACAGAAGAGAATGAAAACAGTAAAGCAGGGGTATCCATGCGTAGGATAATTCCCGTTCTCTAGTCTCCTCCCTTCATATCTTTTCTCTTACTCCCTTTTTTTCCTCCTACCATCATGCTACTTCTTTAGCTCTCACATCTGTCATCCCCTCCTATATTCCCTCCCCCTTCTCCATCACCATCACTGGCATCTGCAGTATGCATCAATCCACACACACACTTACAGCAGTGACTGAGCCATTCATAAAAAACCTTAAAGAGCACACCAGCAGCAGTCTGCACAGGTAAGCATTACTGATCAATCAAAAATCCTTCAAGAACACATCTTAAATATGTGAGCACAGGACTTACCGTAGAATGTCTTATAGTACCAGGCTGCGCCACCAGAAGGAGCCTTCTACAATTTACTGTAGCGACCAGAGGAGGTGGTTACTTGGACCAGCAGCTCCATGTTGGCAAGCGGAGAGCATTATGGCAGTTTAGCTATAAAAGCATCACCATGATGAAGTGGTTCGTACTGCTTAATGCCTACCAGCCAGAGGTCTCATCTTGTGGTTGTTTGCAGCCCATGTCATGTGACATGGACTATTGAAGAGGAAAATGTTACTGTCACACCACAGTGTAAGGTTCTTTGGATACCAGCAAATAAGAAGAGTTTTCACTGTTAAGAATGATGAAAGTGCCATGTACAGTTTAAATAATTTATTAAAACAGTTAAAAAATACCAGAATGAAATGCTTAACATACCACAATAAAAATGTAAAAAAAAAAAGAAGAAGAAAAGAAAAAAAAGGGGGCGTTTAAAAGTCACATTGAAAAGGTGTAAAAATTGAAGGCTCGAGGGGGGCAGTCAAAGTAAAACAAGTCCAAAGGGTGAGCTACTAAAGATTAAAAGGGAAAAGGGGTGGGGGCTCCTGCATCCGTCTGGTCCCTCGCTCCGGCCCTGCCACTCCACACTGACTCCCTCTCAAGCGGCTGCTGTGGGAGACAGAGCATGCACTCAACGGAAAGTGACAGAACACACATGCGCACAATGGTAGGCTAATGCTTGGTTCACTTTGCTTATCGTTCTGTAGGCGTTGAACCAAGTCTTTTCCGGCTTCCTGGCTCATGCTCCCCCGCACGCCTGGTCTCTTGTTGTGACCTTGCTGTATTGGCCCGTGTACTGTCACAGCTTTTCGCCGGTGTGGTGAAAACTCCGACCTGTCATCCCAACTGGCTTCTGCTACTCTGCTCGTGTCTGCTCGCCCCATGCCTCCCCTCCCTGCTACCTGCTCACCTGTCTGCAATAAATGCCAGAACTTGTCCGATGTGCCAATCGCGCATTATCGGTGTGTCACACAAATCAGTTTCCAGATGTTCCTCATAAGTTCACTTTGAGTCAGTTCATGACAATATCAAAACCAGTAAAACCACTACAAAACAAGGTCCATGCAATAATATAAAACCAGTAAAACATGCAATTATAAAATCTAAATAAGACAAATATACAGCAAAGATAAAACCACACAATATGTAAAAACATCAGGACCAAGTGGTTATAAAAAAAACAACAAAAAAACCCAAACTGATGGATAGGCCACATTATGACATCTCCCGCCTCTTTTTAACAACGTCCCAACCAATTTTCTCCCTATACCTGGCTGGGGGTACCCCAAAATTAGCTCGCCCTGAGCAACTTATGTCAGATTGCTTAGGCTCTGGACTGAGGGTTACTGGTCCTGCTGGGGGGTCAGGTGGTTCGGCCTGATTTGGATCGACTGTCTGTGTTGCCAGTGGCTGGATAGGGTTCATGATCAAAACATAAAGAGCAAAAAGTTTGACTGGTCCACCTCTGAAGCTTCTGGTTCTCTGGTTGACTCTTGACTGTCCTGCAACACACTTAAAGGGCAAGGTCAGAGCTTATTACGGTTTACTGTACGTGTGGGGCCTTCCCTACCCTCTGGCCAAAGGACATAAACTGGGTTGTCCTCCCGTAACGGAGTCACCACGACAAATGGTTCTGGGGTCAATCTCGGCGCCAGTTTTCCTTTGGCCCTTTTGCGGAAATTGCGGACGAGCACCCGTTCACCTGGAAGCAGTGGTGCTCGTTTAACTCGTCGGTTGTAGTGGGTCTGATCCTGTTCCTGTCCGCGTTGATAATGATTTTTCACAGCCTGGTATGTGTGGCTCAGCACTTTGTGGTTCAGTTTTACCCAGTCCTGTAGCGTGTAAGACTCCAAAGTGGGGCTCAGGACAGCTACCCAGTCCACTGGCAGTCTGGCATGTCTCCCAAACACCACATACTGCGGGGTCATCCTTGTTGTGCTGCGGGTGGTGTTATTATTGACCTGGATAAGGGCTAGTAGCTAGGTAGGCCACTGTGCCTGGTCAGTTTCTGCCAGGGAACAGCCTCAGCAGGGTCTGGTTGAACCTCTCGCAGGCCCCATGCCCCTGGGGATGATACGCTGTCATGTGGATCGTTTGACAGCCATAGAGCTGGCAGAGTTCTCTTACCACAGCTGACTCAAAGGCAGCCCCCTGATCTGTCAGGATACATTCTGGGCTGCCAGATGTTTGAATAGGACTGCTGTACAGGGCCCTGGCTGTGGTGTTAGCAGACTGGTCCTTGGTGGGCACTGCAAGGGCATACTTTGAGAACAAGTCAGCCATCACAAATATAGAGATGCTGGTCACTTGGATGCCCCAGAGAGAGGCAATCTACCCCAACAACTTTAAATGGGCACGATGTTGCTATGGGTACTAAGGGTGCTCTCACCTCAGGTCTAGCTTTAGCACACATGCATTGCAAGCAAGTTTTAGTCCACAGTTTCATGTCTTGGCTCATCCTGGGCCAATAACAATGTTGCTGCAGCGCAGCCAGAGTTCTCTCACTGTTAGGGTGGCCCATCCCATGGTGGTATGTTCTCCACACATCCATAGCTTCCTGCTTTGGAACAATGACTTGGAAAGCTTGACACCTAGAAACATAACACATTCTTCCCAGCACACCATTCCGTACTACAATTTTATCCCACTCTGCAAGTAATCTTTCATGTAAGGCGATAGAGAGTCACACACCCCAGGCCAGGGCAGTTGCTGTGCCTTCCACTGTCGTATCTGAGAAAGCAGTGGGTCCTTGGCCTGGCATTCTTTCCATGTTTCGTCTCCTTCCACCATAACCCGGTTTGCAAGCACTGGTGCAATTTGTCCTTTCCTGTTCAGGCAACCTGGAAAGAGCATCAGCATTCTGGTTTTGTGTACCTGGGCGGTATTTGATGGTGTACTTGAAGTTTGCCAGTTGGGCTGCCCAGTGTTGCTCCACTGCTCCAAGCCGGGCCGTCTCAAGGTGTACCAAAGGATTGTTATCTTTGAAGACAGTGAATTCAGCACCATAGAGATAGTCTTTAAACTTCTCAGCCACAGCCCATTTCAAGGCCAATAGCTCCAGTTTAAAGGAGCTATAGTTCTGGTCATTTCATTCAGCTGGATGGAGGCTAGCGTAGGCAATCACCCGCTCGTTGCCATCTTGTACTTCTTGAAAGGACAAGAGAAGTCAGCATAGGCCAAGATGGGTGTATTTGTCAGTGCCTCTGTCAGCTGGTTGAAAGCCTGCTGACACTTTTGGGACCAGTTAATGTAGGTTGCCTCCCGCTCCTGCATATTGGTGCCATGTGTCAATGCATTCATTGGTGCTGCAATCTTGGAAAAACCAGGTATAAAGCAGCGGTAGTCGCCAGAAAAACCAAGTAAAGATTTTACCTGCTTGACTGTCTGCGGTACTGGCCAATCTCTCACCGCTGCAGTCTTTGCTGGATCCGTGGCCACCCCTGCCTCGCTGATGATGTGGCCCAGGTAGGTTACCTTTTGTTGGAACAGGTGACATTTTTGAGGCTGCAGCTTCAGTCCATGCTGATGAAGCCACTTAAACACCTCTTCCAAGTGGCGCATGTGACTGTCAAAGTCAGGAGAGAACAACATCACATCATCCAGGTAAAACAACAAAGAGTCATTTACCAGGTTTCCCAGGCAGCATTAAATCAGCCTTTGGAATGTGGCTGGGGCGTTACACAGACCAAAAGGCATCCGTTCAAATTCATATAGGCCGAATGGCGTGGCGAACGCAGTCTTCTCTCTGTCAGAGGGGTCCATTTCCACCTTGCCAGGTCCAGTGTGGAATACCATCTGGCCGCTTTGAACCCAGTCAGTGACTCCTAGATGCAGGGCAGGTGGTAGGCATCCTTATGTGTGAGTGCATTCAACCTCCTGTAGTCCACACAGAACCTCCAACTTCCATCTTTTTTCTGAACAAGCACAATGGGGGCTGCCCAAGGGCTTGCACTCTCCCTCACCACACCACTGTCCAGCAAGTGTTTCAGCAAGGTTTGTAATTCAGCATACAGGCTAGGAGGAATGGGCCGGTACCTCTCAGGCGGCTGTGGCTCAGGTGGTAGAGCAGCTGTCCTCTAACCGCCCCTCCACAGTTCAAGTGTCCTTGTGCAAGACACTGAACCCGAAGTTGTTTCCAATGGCAGGCAAGCACCTTGCACAGCAACTCTGTCACCATTGGTGTATGAATATGTGTGTGAATGGGTGAATGAGGAAACATTGTAAAGCACTTTGACTACCACTAACATAGAAAAGCTCTATATAAGTGCAGACCATTTACCATTTACCACCTTGCGACTTGGGAGTACCGAGCCGGTTGGTATCTGATGCTTCACTACACCAGTGCAGCTGAAGTCCTCATCATGGCTTGAAAACACTTTTGTCCACCTTTGCAACAGGCTGGTCATCTCCCTCTGTTCTTCAGAGGTCAGGCCGTCTCCCT